GGTGGATCAATGGAACCGAACAGAGGACCCAGAGATAAACCCACACACTTATGGACACCTGATCTTTGACAAAGATGCCAAAACCATACAATAAAGAAAAGACAGCATCTTCAACAAATGGTGCTGGTCCAACTGGATGTCTACATGTAGAAAAATGAAAATAGATCCATACTTATCACCCTGCACAAAACTAAAGTCCAAGTGGATCAAAGACCTCAACATAAAACCAGACACATTAAATTGGTTAGAAAAAAAAAAAGTGGGGAATACCCTTGAACTCATTGGCACAGGAGACAACTTCCTGAACAGAACACCAACAGCACAGGCTCTAAGAGCAACAATCAATGAATGGGACCTCATGAAGCTGAAAAGCTTCTGTAAATCAAAGGATACCATCATCAAAACAAAACGACTGCCTACAGATTGGGAAAGAATCTTCACCAACCCTCTATCTGATAGAGGACTAATATCCAGTATATATAAAGAACTAAACAAGCTGAAAAGCAGCAAACCAAGTAATCCACTTAAAAAATGGGGAACAGAGCTAAACAGAGAACTCTCTGTAGAGGAATATCGAATGGCAGAGAAACACTTAAAGAAATGCTCAACCTCATTAGCCATTAGGGAAATGCAAATCAAAACGACCCTGAGATTTCACACCCATCAGAACGGCCAAGATCAAAAACTCAAGTAACAACACATGCTGGAGAGGTTATGGAGAAAGGGGAACCCTCCTCCACTGCTGGTGGGAATGTAAACTTGTACAACCACTCTGGAAATCAATCTGATGCTTTCTCAGACAACTAGGAATAGTGCTTCCTCAAGATCCAGCCATACCACTCCTAGGCATATATCCAAAAGAGGCTCAAGTACACAATAAGGACATTTGCTCAACCATGTTTGTAGCAGCTTTATTTGTAATAGCCAGAAGCTAGAAACAGCCCAGGTGCCCCTCAACTGAAGAATGGATGTAGAAATTGTGGCACATCTACACAATGGAGTATTACTCAGCAATGAAAAATAAGGAAATCATGAAATTTGTAGGTAAATGGGGACCTGGAAAGGATCATCCTGAGTGAGCTGTCCCAGAAGCAGAAAGACACACATGGTATATACTCACTCATATAGACATAACATAGGATACACCTACTAAAAACTATACATCTAAAGAAACTAAGCAAGAGAGAGGACCCTGACTAAAACGTTCAATCCCCATCCTGAAAGGCAAAGAGGTTGAACATCAGAAGAAGAAGAAAACAGGGAACAACCTAGGAACCTGCCACAGAGAGCCTCTGAAAGCCTCTGCCCTGCAGACTATCAAAGCAGATGCTGAGACTTATGGCCAACTGTTGGGCAAAGTGCATGCAATCTTATGTAAGAAGTGGGAAATAATAAGAGCTGGAGAGGACAGGAACCACACAAGAAGAGCAACAGAACCAGAAAATTTGAACACAGGGAACTTCCCAGAGACTCATACTCCAACCAAGGACTATTCATGGAGGCAACCTAGAACCCCTGCACAGATGTAGCCCATGGCAGTTCAGTGTCCAAGTGGGTTACATAGTAATGGGAAGAGGGACTGCCTCTGACATAATCTGATTGGCCTGCTCTTTGATCATCTCCCCCTGAGGGGGGGAGCAGCCTTACCAGGCCACAGAAGATGACAATGCAGCCACTCCTGATGTGATCCAATAGACTAACATCAGAAGGAAGGAGAAGAGGACCTCCCCTATCAGTAGACTTGGGGAGGGGCATGCATCAAGAAGGGGGAGGTAGGGTGGGATTGGGAGGGGAGGAGAGAGGGGCTTATGGGGGAATATAAAATGAATAAAGTGTAATTAATAGTAAAAAAATTAAGAAATTAAAAAAAGAATTGTAAAATTAAAAAAAAATAGCAAAACCTAAACAACATATGTTGTAAGGTAATTGATTCCAAATTTTAGATCGGCATTCTTGAAAACTAAATTATACATGAAGAAGTTTAGAAGAGATGTGCTTAATTTGTTTTGATATGGAAATATATACACATGGAATATAAAAGAAATACAGCAATGGGATCACTGTTGTAGACTTTATATGCCTTGTAATATACCTTCTCTTGTTGTTCATTGTTTTTTTTTAAAGGTTGAGTTAACGTTTTGAAGAGTACTTTGAATATTACAGATGCAGTCCGTTTTAAATGAAAACAACTAAAAAATAATAATAAAGGACAGGACAATTAAAAGCCAGCCCCTCCTGTCTTAATAAAACACAAACTTAAGATACATAACAAAGGTTTCTTTTCAGAATGAAGGAGATCATACAGACTAGGTTTGAGAGTATTTTTATGTTTGTTGCTTAAAGGTAAAGTCAGAAGCATTTTGCCTTCTTTTGCTCTGGTAGTAAGTACTCCCTTTACTCTTCTGTTCACAAAAGGTTGGTGTCTTCATAATATTTGTTTATTCTATCTGAGCTGAGAGCATGGACTGTCTGACCTTCTGTGTCATTGGTTCCTCTGTCTTTTACAGGTTTAGGTGTTCTGTTTTCTTACTGTGAAATTATTATAATTTTTTTAAAACATTGACTAAGATTTCCAGCAGTATGTAAGACTGTCAATCATCAAGATTTTGGTCAGCTTTGCTAATTGCTAAGAGTTTACTTATTTTCACATCTCTGGGTGTTATTCTGCACATAGATCTGTGTCGGGAGCCGCTCCCGCCATTACAAGATGGCGCCGGCTTCCTGCTTCCTGGTTCTTCTTGCCAGCATTTTCGCGCTTCTTGCCTGCGCCGCCCTGCAGTTTACACATGCGCAGCTTTATGCTAATGAGGGTTTAGGCTGCACTCCAATTGCCAGCCATATGCTTATGAAGACTTGAACAGAGCACCAATTACAGACGGACAGGTCACGCTGCTGGCTATTTAAGCAGAGCACAACCCGGGGTCTGGGTCCTTCACCATCTGCAAGAAAGAGCTGTTCAATAAACTTGCTGCTGAAGAAATCCTCGGTTGTTGCGTCGTCCTTATCGGCAAAGGCCGCGCGCGACAAGTGGTGCCGAAACCCGGGAGCTGCCGAACCCCGGAGTGGAGGATCGCTTCGAAGGACCCCGACTGCTCGTCGAGTAAGGATTCAAAGTCAGTGGCGTGAGAACCGCGGTACTTTTCTGCAAGGTATGATTTCTGTGGTCTTGTTGTGTTGTCTGTGCCTTAGTTGTGGGAAACGGGACCATCAAGACAGTCTATCCGAAGCAGAAAAGGGAATTAAGACCGGTAAATCCCCTAAGGATGGGACCAAGGAAGATAAGGCTAAAGCGCTGAAGGCGCGAAAGCTAGTTAAGAAGTCAAAGAAACCAAAACAGACTGGTAGCAAGGAAAAGAAGAAAGCCGCCTCGTCATCGAGCGAGCCGGAGTCTACAGAGAGCGAAAACAGCTCTTCTGAGAATCAACAAACTGATGAGGAATCAGGGCTCGACCCTGACGAGCAGGCAGAGTTGGATGAGGAAGCAGCTAAATATGAGGAAGGGCGTTACCGCCCAGATCCGCCACCATATGTGGCCTATGCTGGCACTTCCGGGTTCTCCATGCGGAAGTCAGCCACTGAAAAACCCAAATCTGCAGAGACAAAATTTTCCCTGATATCAGAAAAAGAGAGGAAGCGGATTAAAACCACGTTCCCAATCTGGGAGGACGCTCGGGTAGTTAATCAGACCTTATACCCACCTGAAGTATATGAACAAATACCGGTAACAAATCAAAGCTTGGCAGCAGCTGTGCTCTCTGCTCTTATAATCATTAAAGGACCGGATCTTATTTTAATAAGATCCAGGGGAGCTGTGTGTATTTTCCCACAGGACCAAGAAAATCCAATTTGGGTTCCGGCGCAATTGACCCGGGTGGTGAAGCAAGATGAGCCTGACCCTAACTTTGATCCTGATGTTGAACGGACTGCTGACGAGCTTGGAGGTGGAGACCCAGGAGATTCCACTAATGACTCTCTGGGACTACCTTATTTGCCAATGTCTATCTTCTGCCTTTTCCTATTTTAAGGAATGGGTTGGTGTGGGCATGTTTGGAGTGATGTTTCTCGCAGGTCTGTTCCTCTGTTTTTGGTTGCTCTGCCGTTTTAAGAGACAGCAACATCTTAAAAATGTGGCCATGGTGCGGGCTATGCTGGCTGTGGAACAGGGAGCATCTCCCCAAGTTTGGCTTAACATGCTCAGTCGTTGAGACACTGTCTGAACTTGTAGCACTCCTGACGGGCACAGGTTCCCATTGCACCAGGATGCTGTTCAAGACAGACTTCTGCACCTCCCAGGGCTCAGGTTCCCATTGCACGGGACTCAAGGTGCAGAGGGTCTCTTACACTGTGTAAACTCCTTGATCGCTGACGCTGTTGGCTCAGCAGGCTGATCGGTAACCTCATGGTGTGTTATTTTTCTGATTGAGATGGCCTTTAATATATATAAAAGGGGGAGATGTCGGGAGCCGCTCCCGCCATTACAAGATGGCGCCGGCTTCCTGCTTCCTGGTTCTTCTTGCCAGCATTTTTGCGCTTCTTGCCTGCGCCGCCCTGCAGTTTACACATGCGCAGCTTTATGCTAATGAGGGTTTAGGCTGCACTCCAATTGCCAGCCATATGCTTATGAAGACTTGAACAGAGCACCAATTACAGACGGACAGGTCGCGCTGCTGGCTATTTAAGCAGAGCACAACCCGGGGTCTGGGTCCTTCACCATCTGCAAGAAAGAGCTGTTCAATAAACTTGCTGCTGAAGAAATCCTCGGTTGTTGCGTCGTCCTTATCGGCAAAGGCCGCGCGCGACAGATCTGGTCTTAAGGATAGTGCATAATAGCCAGTATGATCTTCAAGGACTGCACAGTGTGTGCCTGAGGCAACCTTATATGTGTAATGAACAAAAAGACAAAATTGATGAGATTTTTTTTTCTACTTATCATTGTTAAAGGTGTACATCCTTTTGCTTTAAATTGTCACCTTTTTCTGTTTCCATGCTGTTTTATTCTAATGGGCCCCAAAATGTCATCTCCTAATTGTTTAACAGAATCAGAAAGCAAAGAAGAAAGGTCTACCTTTAGAGAACAATGGGATTTCTCTGAAGAAGATGACCCCATAATGCCCAGCCTAACACCTCTTGGAAATCTTGCCTGCCAGGTTAAGGACCTTTTAAAATATCTAAAACTTGGAAACCTTTAGAATCCCAATTTCTAGTTATAGCATACTGAACTCTTAAAACAATCTAGTCTATATACTTGTAAGACTCTTCCATTGCTTCCCATTGTGTCCCCAACTGAAACCAATTCCTGAATAGCCCTTCTGGCCTCTTCTGGAGTCCCAACTCTTCAAAGGCCCCTTAAAAGTCTCAGCCAGCTCTCTAGATATCATGCTACCCTAAATGGAACACTGCATTTTGCCAGCAAACAGCTAAGCCAAACACTGAGTAAAGCCATTCCCAAATGTTAATATATAATTCATTTCCCTGACTCTTATGTTTCTTTTTGTTGCTGTGACTGCCTGACACAGGTAGATAAGGAAACAGCCTGCACTACCTTTTCCTACATGATCTCCAGAAGGCAGTTAACAAACTCCTAACTGCTTCACCATAAAAGCTGGCATTTGCGAAAGGGAGGACTGGAGAATGGTGAGGAGTTGAGGTGAGAGGGAAGGACTGAGAGGGGAGGAAGGGTGATTGGGATGTAATATAAATTAATTTTTAAAGTCAACATTTTGATAGTTGTGTTGTTTATTTAGAAAAGGATCCGGGGTACTGGAGACTTATCTCAGTGGTTAACGGCATTTGTTATGACAGAGGAGTAGGTTCAATTTCCAGCATCCACATGGTGGCTTAAAACTGTAATTCCAGTTCCAGAGGCTCCAACACTCCTCTGACTACCTTGGGTACCAGGAGTGCATTGGTACATACATGCAGGCAGAACCCTAATGCATAAAACAACAACAACAAGTCAAGGGCTACAAAGTAAATCAGATAATCTGTATTTGGGAAACTGATGCCTTCTCAAGCAAATAATATTCTCTCATGAGCTAAAATACTATCTACTACTTAATGACCCAAACATCTTGTCATACAACTAAAGAAAATGTAGAATTTAGGCATACCCTCTCAGACATAATTTTTAGAAAGGTAATTAAATTAATTGAGATAATTATATAAAAAATGATATATTCATATGACACCCCTTGAAGGTTCTTGTTTCTTGTGGCAGTGTAGTTTCCAATTTAGCCTATCCTACTCCAAGCCTAATAAAGGAACTTCCAATTACTTCATGAACACTCTGTATCATATGCCTTTACCAGGCTATCTCTAGCTAATTTGGCCTATAAAATCTTATTCTAGATATAAACAGACTTCTGTAAGGAATATGTCTCTTAAATCTTGGTACCAAGGCTTTTTCAAACAAATATATTCAAATTACGGAAAGAATCAACTTTCACCAGACTAGTGTTTTCAGTATTAACTGCAAAATGGTTAAAATATTTTACCTAGATTAATTTTCTGGAACAGAACTTTTTGCACTTCCGACATCCATTGCAAACATTTTGGAAATCCTCTAATGAAAACTTCCTATAGAACTACCCTGATATGAAATTAAGAGTTTTATTAACAGCATTGTTTTCTAAGTAGATTAGTTTTCAACTTTGGTGGTGATGGGAGGGGGGTGGGTGTAGCGCTGAGTCAAGATAGTATATGCCCTTATAAATGTGTCCTGCTATGTTTGTTTGAGTCAAAACGGGTCTGAACATATGAAAAAATGCATAAGACTGTTAAATATTTTTACATACCCTAAAATAGTAACTTATGTGTGAGCCTAGATAACCGAGTACCTAAAACAAAACAGGTTGTGTGTGTGTGTGTGTGTATCTATCTTCATTTTAGTTTTGCTTTTTCTGAATTCTCCCAATTGAATGAAAAAAAATAAGTAAAAATTTAAACAGTAATGGAATAGTAATTGTGTAAAATTTAGCAAATTTTAGGATGATAAAGACTGCTGAGCCATATTTTTCCTGCCTTGCAAATAAAGGAGTGTATTTTAGTAGAGAAGAAAAATGTTTATGGAGATTATTGACTTCGAATGATATCCTACTGCCAGTATAACAATATATCAGAAACTTGTTTGTGTACATACATGCTCTCTGAAATTACTTTCTCTTTTAATGTTAAAAGAACCTGTTTCCCTTTGTCAGAGAAAGCAGAAGTGAAATAAAGATCTGAAAATAAAAACACATTGATGCTTCTGCGTACATGGTGTGTTCATTTCTCTGTTATATAAAAGTATATATTTAAAAGTGATTTGCTTGTGAATGCATTGTTTTATATTCACTTAAAAGGAAACTTTTCCCCAGCTTGGCAGCTGAATAAACCAACAGCTGTGTACATGCTGAATGAAGTGTGGTCGTTTGTCCTCAACGAATGAAACAGATCCCATTTTCCCTAGGCATATTCTAGATTCTCTAAGTATTAAATACTGTACCTGTTATGTCTCAGCATCTTGAGAAAAGAAACAGTTTTGAAGAAAATGTCTCATTCCATTGGAACCCATTTTTTTGCCTATATATCTTTTAACTATTTTTTAATTTTATTTTTATTAATTGCAGTTTATTCACTTTGAATCTCAGCTGTAGCCCCCTCCCCTCTCCCCTCCCAACCCCACCCTCCCTCTCTCTTCTTCTCCTATGTCCCTCCCCCAGTCCAATGATAGTGTAGGTCCTCCTCCCCTTCTGTCTGACCTTAGTCTATCAGGTCTCATCAGGACTGGCTTCTTTGTCTTCCTCTGTGGACTGGTAAGGCTGATCCCCCCTCAGCTGGAGGTGATCAAAGAGTCAGCCTATGAGTTCATGTCAGAGACAGTCCCTGTTCCTATTATTGGGGAACCCTCTTAGACACTGAGCTGCCATGGGCTACTTCTGTGCTAGGGTTCTAGGGTATCTCCATGCATAGTCCTTTTTTGGAGTATCAGTCTCAGAGAAGAGCCCTATGCCCAGATTTTTTTTGGTTTTGTTGCTCTCCTTTGTGGCGCTCCTATTCCCTCCAACTCTTTCTATCTCACCCTTCTTTCCTAAGATTCCCTGCACTTCGCCCAAAGTTTGGTTATGAGTCTCAGCATATGTTTTGATACCCTTCTAAGTAGAGTCTTTTAGAGGCCCTCTGTGGTAAGCTCCTGCCCTGTTCCCTGTTTTCTCCCTCTTCCGAAGTCCATCTCAGGACCCTTATTTTAAAGCACATTTTCTTCTAGATTTTCATCCTTAGGTTATACAAAATGAAAACCTTAAGCTTTTTGCTTATTATGTGTCAGAAGCTCAGGTATTGGAATGATTTATCACTCTCACATTCTCCCTATGTGGGTTTCTGATGAAACATGTTCACTACAAATAGGATAAAGGTAAATTATATCACATTTAAAGAAGAGAGAGAGAGAGAACATAGTTCTCAAAGGAGTAAAACAATGGTTTCTTAACATCTTAATGACAATCAGCAGTCTTTTGCTGAAGCAGTTTGGATGGCCTTCGGTTATAGAAGTCCATAATCATGGCTTAATCTTATCTGTATCTGGAAAAGAGAAAAGCCATACCCTGGAGGAAGACAAATGGTAGTGACCTGGACGAGCAGATCATTCTTTCTGGGAGAAAGAAGCAGAGATGAAAAATAATAAAGACAGGAAAGTTTGAGATCAGGAGGTCTTGCACAAGCTGATGGCTCATATAAGCAAATTTATTATAAAATTTAGCACCTAAATATTAAATATTTAATATAGTAAATATTTTACTGTATGCAAGGGGGGGGACATAGACAGTAGGAAGCTAATAGTCTTAGAGAACATAGAATAGCTCAAGTTCATTACAGACCAAATATCCAGTGGCCTTGGGACTGATAACTCCAGTCTGTCCAGGGGAAAATTCAGTTACCCAGGAATGGAAACCTTAACTCCTTAGCAGCTGTGGCCCCTGCAGCAAACCGGACTGCCAAGTCTCCCCCTGGGCAAGGACACAGAGCTAGGGTTCACTTTTTCTTTCATCAAGAATTCCAAGAGCCTTGGTTCAGCCTGGATCCCAATAAGTAGGTCCTTCCAAGGGGAATTTCTTATTCTGATTCCTATCATGTACATACCTAAAAATATCTCAGACATTTAAAACAATTAAGACTGTAGAAATGACTTGCGTTGTTTTCATACTGATGCATGTTTAATAAAATGGCATTCTGTTTTTGACATCAGTGTCAGTACAGTGCTTTCTCTTAGAAAATGACTTTTCTGAAAGTGGAGCAGTTCCTATTCTCTAGTTCAGACACTTGGGATGCAAAATTATATGGGTTACAACACATAAGAAATTCGTTTTTAATATGTGAACTTACATACATTGCCCTAAGCCATTTCTGCCCTTTTGGGTCACATTAAATGAGGTTAAACCCTAACCTATACACTGGTCCTTTAACTGTTTTAAAATGGCCTATGAAGGAGGACCTTAAATAAATGAGTAGGGCAGTCATCCAAGTATAATGAAGATTCATATAGAGATATACCCCAACAGATAACTACCATAGATAGTACTCAGGTACAGAAAAGGTTATATATGCTGATTTCATGTTTATTATATAAATAACTAAAAATAACACAAAAGAAAGACTCCACTAGGATTATATGTTGAATGAAATTGGAAAAATTTATGTGAGAAAACTTAGGATGACTAGAAGGTCACATGAAAATTCCTGGGATTGCTTGGGGAGTTAGGCCATATTTAACCAGTAGTCTTTCAGTAGATCAGGATCTTTCTTGGCCTAACAAGATTAAAGCAGTTCCTAGTAAACACAGCCAAAGTGAGGTGTCTGTTATATCAAAGCAAGACCAAGAAGGTAGTTAAATAGGTAAGGTTTGGTATCTCTGACTTGTGGGTAGAGAATAACGCTTGGATTACCTGCTAAGCATAAGCCAAATATTATATTCCCATCTATGCTATGCAACAGGACTTGGCAACCCAACAAAAATTGTTTTACAGTGTGTTACTTGGGCAGCGGTCCAATAAGAACCACTCCTTTTGTGGATTTCTAGGAAGGATGCAAAAGTGTAACAATATTCCAACAATAAGAACCTATAGATTGACTTTTACAATTATACCATTAATGAACTAATGGTTTGACAGAGTGAAAGAGTGAAAGAGCTCTGGTGGCATAAATAAGGGGACAACATCACATAAATACTCCACATTCCTTTATTCATTGAAAACTATTTTTTGTTTTTTAATTTTTTTATTCATTCTTTATTACAATTTATTTGCTTTGTATCCTGGCTGTGGGCCCTCTCTCATTTTCTCCCAATCCCTCCCAACCTCCCTATACTCTTCCTATGCCCCTAGGCCACTTATAGGGGAGGACCTCCTCCCCTTCTTTCTGACCCTAACCTATCAGGTCTCATCAGGATTGGCTGCACTGTCTTCCTCTGTGGCCTGGCAAGGCTGCAACCTCTAGAGGGAGGTGATCAGAGAGCCTGCCCCTGAGTTCATGCCAGAGACAGCCTCTGTTCCCCTTACTAGAGAACCCACTTGGGGACTGAGTCTATGGGCTACATCTAAGCCAGAGATTTAGGTCTTCTCCATG